ATACAACAGCGGGGATTCGCTGGTCGTCACCGACCCAACTACTAATCCGCCGGTTAGTGGCTTGACTATGGGAGAGCGGACGGGATCCCGTATTTTCCACTACCTTTGGTCGTATGTACTATATGAAGATAACAATTTGACTCATATAGACTTGCTGCCGCTAATCGTGAGTCCAGCTATATATCGGCGTAAAACCAGCACAATATTCACGAGGCTTGTACATCCGGTTGCACTTCGGTCATTCTTGGTGCCTCGTATTTATTTGGTGTAGGGCCAATCAAAACATCCGTGCCCCTAGAAATGCTTATACCCAAGGGTCTTTTGCTTCGAGAATACAATGATGAAGTCATCTAGAGTATCCAGATTATATGGGGGCGGTCGAATGGGAAACCTTGTTCTGCTTCTTTTACGCACTACTAATCTCGAGGTAAACAAAAATCGTATGCTCTCATTGCTCCCAAAATGGTGCGTTCCAGGGAACCCGGAAAGCGCATTGTCCATTGTCGTGAGTTTCCCAGGAAACCTTGGCACTTACAGGTGGTTTGCGAGGAACATCTCTGTAAACGAGCTATGATATCATGCGTATGGGTCAAGGCTTGCTTCATTCAGATCAACACACCAGGACGATTCAAGATCTGCATAAACATGCGTACTGCCTCACTTCCATGAATCCACGGTAGAATTAATCGATATTCAGGTTTGTTTCACAGCCTGGATGGTCTGGAAAGCACGGCTAGCTAGTGTTGATAATCCTTGAAATGTGGTCGAGCCGCTGTCATGTCACTGCTTTCAGGGTAGCTGAGCCACGAATATCATCCGAACACCCACCATTGAAAGCCGGCGATGAACATGAACAGCCCTAAGCATTGCCCATATTTGTACAGAGTATTGAAGTGAAGACTTAGGACGACGGGGGTCAGTACTAGGTCCCGGCCACGTTCAAATCTTCAATGCCAGTCCAGTGGTGTTAAACCAAGCGGATATCGTTTGGCATCGTCTCACAGACAGGGTAACCCTCCCAAGCCTTTGATCTGACATGCCTCATGGGCCTATGTTCTAATTATGGCTTAATGAGTCGCCTCATTTGTTCGAGGAGCATTCTACTTATTCTGTCATCACTAGAGAAGAGACGCAAGGTACAGAATAATCTGCAGGTTACAGGAACCTTTATCGAGGCTACAAGGATTATGCTCCGATCAGGTTAGGCTATCGGCGCCTCTTGATTCTAGCGTAACACTGACTTCAACTTGTCGTTTTAGTGGCTCGCCAGCCCTGGAGATCTAGTCTATACAGCCAACATTCCGAAGACAACCCAAGGGACCTCTCTCCTTTTTGCTGAAGATTGAAGAGAAACTGAATGCTTTGGCTGAAACCGAGATCATCATTGGCCGCTCGAAACATTCGGAGTTTGCGGGCACTTGGGGGGAAGCCGAGCTGCAAGAGGCGAGATCGGGCTAGGCAGCTTTGTAATATGGATAAAGCCAAGCTCACTAAAACTAACGTTACCAAGACCAACGATAGGTCCCCAGACGGCCAGGCCCGACCTTCTGACTCTCTAAGCCACAAGGCGAGGCGTTACAGCCGCTGAAGAGGTACCTAAGTCCCAAGCTAAGCCTAAGGATACTGAGCTTAGATTAGCTACTCCGTACTGTTTTACGACCGGGGATGCCAAAATAAAATAGTCTAGATGTCGGTCTAGATCGGTGTAAAGTGATCAAGTCATTCCGTCTCCATGCTTCTAGCGGTTGATTTTTCTGGTACGCCGATGGAAATCTTAGTCATGCCTCAGGCAGAAAGCTCCGACGCCGCCCCCCGAGCATCCCCATCCATGCATGGCCCGTTCCATTTCCAATCCAATTCATCAGGACCCATAGCAGGTCTCAAGGCCAGCGTCATTCCTTCCTCCTCCCTCCTCCCTTTTTATCAATACTGCCGCTCTTCCTTACGCCGATCTTTTATTCATCTTCAATCACCTCTTAGCCGTTGAATATGGCAGCGAATTTCTAATCGAAACCCTACCAAGTCTTTCCGTCCCCACCTACCCGGCCGTTTCTAAGTCTCGCGATGCCGTCCCAAAAGAACTCGAATGGCACCGGCGGCCAGGTCAGCCACCGTTTGCGCAATTTCTTCCGTATGAACACTGGAGGTAGTACTGGCAGTGCTTCTAGCGATAAGGATAAAGAAAAGGAAAAAGAAAAGACCTCGGCCGCTACCACACCCGATCCCTCGAAATCTCGTCACACAAAGTTCTTTAGTAATACAGTTGGCCGCCTGCGCGCGCACACCGTGGCAAGCGAAGGCAACCAGTTGGAGGAGGCTATGAGCCCTACGGCTCACGCGAACCCTTATTTTGCCCATCAAGGCCAACCAGGACTGCGTCACCATAATTCCGACTCTGTTCCCCCGAGCCCCCCGGATACGCCAAGTCTGAAGATCCAAGCACCGGATGGCACCACTACAACCGACCAGGCTACCAGCGAGACCAAAGAGGAGCTTGCTAGGAGACTTAGAAGAGTCGCCAGCGCACCCAACGCTCAAGGCTTGTTTTCCAAGAACGACCCCAACAATGAGCGCCCTGCGACTGCCGAGCTTGGTAAGGATCCTCTTACAAGCTCTGGCGCGCTTGGCCTCATAGAATCGGCTAAGACTTCTCAAACTGAAGAAATGTCCAAGCATGCCAATCCAGACGACGTTCTTGCTGCTCTACCAGCTCCCAACATGTCAATGGCCTTCCGTCGAACCTATAGTTCCAATTCGATCAAGGTCCGAAACGTTGAAGTTAGCCCTTCTAGTTTCGACAAGATAAAGCTTATTGGAAAGGGAGACGTTGGTAAAGTCTATCTCGTGAGGGAGAAGAAGAGTAGTAGGCTTTATGCCATGAAGAGTATGTTAATATGTCAGACCTTGAATTGCGACTACAACTAACTATCTACAGTACTGAGTAAGAAGGAGATGATCAAGCGAAACAAGATCAAGCGAGCTCTCGCCGAGCAGGAAATCCTGGCGACAAGCAATCACCCTTTCATTGTCACGTTATACCACTCTTTCCAGTCAGAAGACTACCTTTACTTGTGTATGGAGTATTGCAGTGGTGGCGAGTTCTTCCGCGCTCTCCAAACGCGCCCTGGAAAATGCATTCCCGAAGAGGATGCTCGATTCTACGCTGCTGAAGTGACAGCAGCGCTGGAGTACCTGCATCTTATGGGATTTATCTACCGAGATCTAAAGCCCGAGAGTATGTTGTGAAATAGTGCTTACAAATGCACAGCTGACCCTTTTTGTAGATATTCTGCTTCACCAATCGGGTCATATTATGCTTTCGGACTTTGACTTGTCCAAGCAGTCAGACCCTGGTGGCAAGCCGACCATGATCGTTGGCAAGAATGGAGCTCGAACAGACGCCTTACCAACCATCGACACACGTTCATGTATTGCCAACTTCCGAACCAACTCTTTTGTAGGCACAGAGGAGTACATTGCTCCGGAAGTTATTAAGGGTAGTGGCCATACAAGCGCAGTCGATTGGTGGACTCTTGGCATCCTTATCTACGAAATGCTCTACGGCACAACACCTTTCAAGGGCAAGAACCGTAACGCAACTTTCGCCAACATCTTGAGGGAAGATATTCCCTTCCCCGACCACGCTGGTGCACCACAGATCTCCAAGTAAGTCTCAAGTGAAAGAGTTTGCTCTGACCATTTCTAACCGTGCCACAGCCTCTGCAAGTCCTTGATCAGGAAACTACTTATCAAAGACGAGAACCGACGACTTGGCGCCCGAGCTGGTGCATCAGATATCAAGGCGCATCCATTCTTTAGAACAACACAATGGGCACTGATTCGCCATATGAAGCCACCGATCGTCCCCCATGCTGGAAGAGGAGTTGATACTGTCAACTTCCGAAACGTGAAGGAGAGCGAGAGTGTTGATCTTTCAGGCTCAAGGGCTATGAACTTGAAGGGAGTGCCTTTGGACAGTGGACTGGCCACTCCTGGTGGTGAAATTGCCGACCCATTCCTTGAGTTCAACAGTGTCACTTTGCATCACGATGGTGACGACGATCACCACCGTTGATTTTGGAACGCAGACTTCACTGAAGAAATTCGAAGCATTGTCATTACTGGTTAGCCTTCATCATCGATTGGACATGTTGTCGTACGTATACGCATGGGATTACGATCTGGAATTCTTGCACTGGGGCGTCTATTCTTTTTCTTTTTCAGTCATTCGACACACTTGACACTCCTTAGGAAGATCGCTGGTTAGAAGGAGAGAGAGAGGGGGGGGGGGAGAAAGCAACGGAAGAAAGGGGATGTGGGGACGAGAAAAGGGAGCGAAGGGGGAAGAATGAAAGAGACAAAACAGGAAGTCTCCACATCCTATTTACAGTTGTCGCTGTTAAAATGGCGTCTGGTCTGGCGTTAAGGGAAGAGCGGGAAAGAGCCATTTCATGTAAAGTTACCGTTCAATAAAGATGACGAGCCATGCACGAACGACGGCTATTTTGATACAGACAGAATTGATGGTACGTCTTGGATATTCAGCACAAGTGATAGGAATCGAGAAAGCAGATGAAGATGCTATTGACATGCCGCTTACCTATTCCAACAGACCCAGGAACAACCCCGTGGGATTCGGGTTCCGTCGAGTAGTTGTCACAGGCTATTTATGTAATTACACTCCACAGGTAGAAATGTCGCGTGCTGAGGTTCCTTCGCCTTTTGGGTCATCTGCGCTTAGGAAGTTGGCACATGACCATACCCGAACACTTGCATATGGAGGCTTAGAGGAGCATCTGCCTGGTGAGACATTTCGGAACCCTGAAAAGCTCAGGATAGAGGACATCTACTTGGAAAATTATGGAGAAAGAATTCTTTGTGAACTTCTCGCATGACGAGTCTTGTGCTCATGAGGCTTCGGAGAGAGTTATAGTGAAAGAGTCAAAAGAGTGAAACTCCCCAATATTGGGGTTAAGTTAGTCTCAGAAAGTTCATAATTGACAATATCCTTGGCCGGACCTTTTCTTTGAGAGTGATCGATTTAGCCATTAAACTCGCTGAAACAAGATAAGAGCAAAGATGTCACGATATCCTCCGGCGCCGGAGCCTCGACACCGGACAACTCGCCGGCGATCCTCAGATCGGGTAATTCCAGGTTCTGGTAGACCGTATATCTTAGAATGGAATGCCCAGAACTGTCGACAGAAGGAAATATTCACAGCTGAGAAATTCCAAGAAGAGACGGGCGCAGTGGAAAGACCGGGCTGGAAGAGGATTGCTCTTGTAAGGGACGAATGTGACGTGGGCGTCTTGCTTGGGATGGAACTGGACAAGAGAAAGGGAGGATGGATCTGGGAATTTCCTGAGACGGAAATAAGGAGGAAAAAGTTTGATGCTGATGATAGTGACAACAAAGACAAGGATGATGAGAGTGATGATGATCAAGACGAGGGGATCAGGATCTGCCGTGCATCGCTCATGGTCAAAGAACGACTTCCTATTCTCCTTCTAGACGGCCTTCCATTTCGGTTATCATCGCCACCCTATCGACCTGCTAGAGTTCCAAGCAATACTGTTCCAGACAGAAGCAAACAGGGGAAACGTCCCCCAAAAAGATCCGCACTGGAAGACTCCCTGTGGCAGACACTTGTCGAACTCCGACCCATAGAAGACCTGGTGGCAGAGCTCATATACGACACCTGGCTTCAGAAGCTCGACTCTCTGCCTCCTCTGGGATCTGACTCGGTAGACGTTCAATGGACTATCGCTCGTGCTATTGAAACAAATGCCGACAACGCACGAAGCATGGAACGGCGAGGTCAGTTCAGTAGCATCACATCCGCCGACTGGGCAAATCTTGCAGAACGTCTTCAAAGACGCATTCAGATCTCGGTGACGGTTGCTCTTCAAGCACATGCTCAACAGGCGCAAGACGAACCCAAGGACACGAACGCACGAAGTCTTGATCGCATAGCATATTTGGGTGGCCTCTTACTTCCATTGACGGTTGTATCTGGAATCTTGTCTATCGAGAGTTCATACGGACCTGAAGGATCGTCGTTTTGGGTGTTCTGGCTAGCATCAGGCCTGTGTTCGATTGTAGCACTCCTGGTCATCTATGCCGATCACCTCCGGACCTTGGATGTGTGGATGGAAGTAGCAGCAACCGAGATCCTAGACTTGGATCACAATAAGCGATTTCAAGCAAACCGAACACCACGAAGACGGGAATACCACAGCAGCGGGGATCCAGAGCGTGGAGAGGCGAGGTTGACGACGGCGTCTGATGGAGGAGTGTACGTGGTGCAGCATCGAGACGATGGTACGAGAGGCAGAACGTGGAGGAGAAGAGAACTGGGGTGGCTTGGGGCTATGAAGAAGATGAGTGGATGGTACTGGTGGAGGGGAAGTCCAGGATTGGAGTTTCGGATGCCAGGTTGGGAGAAGAAGGTGAAGCATTTGATATGGTGATGAAGATGCCTTCGTATAGAGAATGGACTAATATATACGCACCAACATGCCCATCTACGTGTCAGACTGTCACAGCGCTGAGGAAGTGTTTTTGAAGCTGATATTTTGAATTCGACTGAGACCACGCGCGGCCTTCGTATTAAAAAAGATATCCATTTCCATAGCATCCATGCCTTCTGTAAATCCTCAATTCGTACACGCACGGAATCAAGCCATGCTTCGTTCCTTCCGACTCAAGCCTACACACGGTCCACGCTCGAGCGGCGTCCACCGAGACCGATCTTCTCCTTACCGTCCATCCAAGGTCGTAGGCACTCTGGTACGGCGACAGTCTTGGCCTCCTCATCCCATCCATTCTCCAACAGAGCTGCTATCACGCGGGGAACAGCCAGAGCAGTACCGTTGGCGGTCCAAGGGAAGGCAAGCTTTCCATCAACGCGGGTCCTTGTGCCGAGACGGCGGGTTTGGTAGTCGGTGCACATGCTGGCTGATGTGACTTCGCCCCAGTTGTCGCGACGGCTGGGGAAGAAGGCCTCCATGTCGACCTTGCGGGTTGCTGAGGCGCCTAGATCATGGGATGGCATTGAAAGAATACGGCAGTGAAGGCCAAGCGAGAGAAGAATCTCGGTCTGCATGTCGAGCATCTCATCAAAGATATCCTGAGCCGCGTCCTCATCTGGTGCTGTCCAAGCAAACATCTCGACCTTGGTAAACTCATGTACACGGTACAAGCCCTTGGTATCTGCGCCACGGGCACCAGCTTCAGCACGATAGCAGCGGGAGACAGCAACGCGCTTAAGGGGAAGATCCTCGGAGTCGATGGTAGTGTTGGCCTTCATTCCCGCAAGGGCGATTTCGGAGGTTCCAGTAAGACACATTTCAGGGACACCACGCTCAGCATCGTCAGCGGATTGAGCGATTGTGTAGACCTGTTGTTCGCCGTTCAGATCACGAGGCTGGAATCCGCACGCCGCACCGATGTGGCTGTATACCATGCTGGGAGGCGATACTTGTGTCCAACCATGACGGGTCGCTGTCGCAAGAGCAAATTGAATCAAAGCTTGCTCAAGTTGAGCAGCTTCACCAAGAAGATAATACCAGCCCCATCCTGAAGCAGTAGCAGCGCCAGCAAAGTCGAAGAGTCCAAGCTCAGTTCCAATGTGAACGTGAGAGCGCCAAATCTTGTCTTCAGGAGATTCTTTGAAAGTGGGTGGATCGTTGATATAGCTCATCACCTCAAACTCACTTCCCTTGGGAGTATCGGGATGAGTGAGGTTGGGTAGTTCCAGCGCAAGCTCTTCCATCCGTGTAACTGCCTCGGATTCTCCCTTCTCAATTGAAGAAAGGTTCTGCTTCAGTTGTCGAGCCTCATCCTGGATTTGCTCGCGGGTCAATTGTCGCACTTCTTTAAGATCCTCATCGCCGCTGCTAGTAGCCGGGTTCGCAAGTTGTCGCCTCAATAAATTCGATCGCTCACGCAGTGCGCGGCCTTGTCGCTGAAGATCCTGCCATCTTGCATGCAATTCTAGAATCTTAGCTGGGTTCTGCGCCTGCTTGCGATAATTGCGCTCTACGCAAGTCTGCTGATAAAGGTCTGCATGTTGACGAATGTGCTTGATATCGACAATAGGCTTTGGCGCTGATGGTGGTCGCTTGGCGTCTGCGAAGCTACGAGTCAAAGCTGGGTGAGTCCTTAATAGCCTCGGCTGCAAATTGCGACACCGCAGGCCCGATAATGTCCTGTTCATGGCGGCTGCTGAGTTGTGAGTGAGCAGCTCATATGAAGCATGACTGAGGTACTTGGAGCTGATCAGCAAGTTTGGGGTCGAAGCCTTAACAGTGGAGAGCTTGCTTAATGCAATTACCCGAGCCGTCCCGGACCGTCACGGTATTATCAGCATCATCATATTGGGAACGTTTTTATTCTTGGCAAAGTAGAAAACATGGCAATTAAGTCAATTGAGCTTATCAATCACTGTATCTGCTTGGGCAATGTGTTGGACTGATAGGTGGATGACCTGGGTATGCTTGTCTACAGTTCTCGTGCACTTCGTCGAATCCTCATAGCATCAGAAATCTTGACCATTTAATCATAAGAGACAAACCAATTTAGATGCTTTGCCATATTCACATCATCTGAACTGGATCGAGGCTTTTATATCGAGCCCCAGACGCCCAAAGTCCAGTTACCATGATGTCCTCCACGACTATATCCTCCTGCCTGCATGCTCTGTCTCTGTTGCACCTTGTAATCGACTTCACTTGGTCGAGAAGCTCCATTCGCACCATGCTGTAGCCAGGCTTCTCTGTCGATAACTGCCATAGCGGGCACTTTTAGTTGGCAAAGCAAGCTTCCGCCGATCCAAGGGCCAAGGGTCTTGAGTACGCGTATCTGGCCCTTCATTTGTGGAACCGTTTCTCGCTGTCGTTCAACCTTTGCTTCAATTGGATCAGGCTCGTGCTTCTTATCGGCTGCGCCTTTTGGAGACGGGTCATGCTCGTCTTCGTTTTTTGATGAGGGTGGTGATCCTTCTGTTGGAGATGTGGTACTAGATTGTCGATGGAGCCTGGTAGTGCTTCTGTGTTTGTCCACGACTTTTCCAAATACTGGCTCCCATCCTCGTTTCTTCACAATAGCTGTTAGGTCGTCGATGATTCTTTGTTTGATGCCCAAGATATTGGAGCAACCTCCTGTAAACATGATCCGTGACATGCAGATGGCGCGCACATCAAGCGGTAGTTGCAAAAGATGCTTGTATAAGAGGAGGTGCAGTGGGAGTTCGTCGTCGTCAAATGTCGCCCGGTCTGCTGAAGGATCGAAGAAGGTGTCGTCGCAAATCTCTGAGAGCTTCTCAAAGGAAAGGTCAACCGTCAACGGACGAGATGCAGTGTTGATAGATATTTGGGCAACTCCAGCTGGAAGACCAGATTGCGCTGACTCGGCTTCAATCTCTTCTTGCTCGTCCACAGTTTCCAGCTGGGTCGACTGCCGTTGGGCTGAACGGAACTCTGATGGCTTGCACCACATCAAGCGGCACATGATATCTTCGCATTCTTTGAAACCAATCGCTCTTTTCTTGGTAGCGTCATGGTCCCCTGGTATTAAGCCCTCCATGGTTGTATAGAGGGAATCGAGAAGAGCTTTGCCACCTCGGACTGTGCGTGTAGTTTTCACTTCTCGATATTCATAAATGCTGGTGACCACAGTCTCTGCCCAGCCCATGTCGATAACTAGGGCAGATCGGACACCTGCTGATATGGCTGACATGGTAGGTGTCGACATTAGTGACACAGTTGGTGACTGAAATCTGTTGAACATGATATCCAAAGTGGCTGTTAACAATGGTATTGGCACACCAGAGTCCAGTACTAAGCCGATCCTTCTTGGTCGAGAATCAATGAGTAGGTATCTTTGATGTGTAAGTACTTATTCTTCGTGCTTGAGAATAGCCTACCTTGAGAAAGCATCATGAAGTATACGTTCCAGCTTATCCTGGAACGCACCGAGCTCAATTTCTCTCAAATCATATCGCCAAAACTCATGCTCCTTTGACCATTGCAGTCCAGCTGCCGGCTTTGATTGTTGCCAACCTCGAAAGTCTCCAGCTCGACGTTGATCTTCTGGGCTGCACTGAAGGGACGCCTTGGGAGACGTGTCGCCAGCAAAGCCAACTCTGACGTGTCGTGATCCTATCTCAACAACAATGATCTCGTCATCTGCACGAATAGTTGATGGTGAGCCGTAGCTGGGTACGGGTGCAACAGAAGAGCGGTTTGGAGTGTGTGGAGCAGAAGGACCAGGCCCCTGAGGAGCACCTCCACGAATACTAGCGACACTTCTATGTGCGAGCGTAGTAGATGCCGCGTCTGAGGCCATAGCTGATGAGATGTCGTGAAATTGTTCTGTGTTTTCTCTACTATTTCTTTGGTCTTTGATTGTCGACGTTGGATGAAAGAGATGCCCTGGTCTGGGCGCAGCCGTGCAACCTCACGCTGGTTGGTTGATGCATCTTTAAACGTCGGCGTTTATAGCGCCGATCTGCCGCCTACAAAAACATTTGGCTGTGGTAACCGCAGCGACGTGGGCCTTGAGGTCAGAATACTTGACTCTACCAACATAAGAGACTAAATAATCTAGCCACTTTATGGGAGCTTAGATCGGCTCCAGGCTCTCTATCTTATTCCCCCTAAGCTCAGGTCTCAGCTTTTCTGCTAATTCCCATGGTGGGGCCAAGACCGTGAACTTCCACCTTCATACATCATCGACTATCAAATTGAAGGGGCAGGCCGAGGTTTCTTGGTGGGCTTCTTGAAGTCGAAATGGGCATCAAGGGGTAAGACTTCCTGAATATTCATCTATAATTTTCTAATTCTTTCAGGATCCATCAAGAAATTGGTGGAGGTGATCGAGTCGCCTTACTCAAACTCGCCGCTGAATCTTTGGAGAAGCATGGACGGCCTTTGCGAATTGCTATTGACGTTGCGATCTGGCAATTCCAGAATCAGGCAGCTCAAGGTACATATTCCATATACCCAAAGTGCTGTCTACCTGATATTCTAACAGAAACCCAGGTGGCACCAATCCTGAAATCCGAACCTTGTTTTACCGTCTCGTTCGCCTCCTAGCATGTCCAGTCGAGCCTATCTTCGTTTTCGACGGCCCCTACAAGCCCGCAATCAAGCGCAACAAGCAATCCAGCCGCGGCAGCTCATTTGCAAACGCACAGGCAAAAAGGTTGGTTCGACTATTTGGCTGCACCATTCACGATGCGCCGGGAGAAGCAGAGGCAGAGTGCGCTCTTCTACAGCAACATGGAATCGTGGATATGGTTCTGACTGAGGATGTTGATGCTCTGATGTTTGGATGCACAAAAGTCTTGCGAAAATGGTCACCGGAGTCGAAACGGGCCACGGAGCCCACACACGTTTCACTTCTCGATGCGGAAAAACTAAAGCTTGGATTGCAAGGTCTTGATCGAGAGGGTATGGTGCTAGTTGCTTTGATGAGCGGCGGCGACTACAACCCTGATGGGCTTCCTGGGTGTGGTGTCAAGGTGGCTCTCGAAGCCGCCAAAGCTGGGTTTGGTACAGAGCTCTGTCGTCTAAAGCCAGCAGATAAGAACGCGCTCCAGGTCTGGAGAAACTCTTTGATACACGAACTACGCACCAACGAAAAGGGCTTTTTCAAACGACGAAACCAGGCCCTGATGATCCCAGAAACATTTCCCGACTTCAAAATCCTGCGCTACTACACACACCCTGTTGTTTCACCACTGGAGAGCTTGGATGGAATTCGTGAAAAGATACACCAGAAAGGCGAGATCCAGGCCCAGGAGTTACGGGAGTTTACCCGCGAAGTCTTTGGTTGGGATTATCGGATAGGTGCCTTGAAGTTCCTAAAGGTCTTATCTCATGCAGCATTTGTACAGAAGCTTCAAGCTGCAGGGGGGGAAGACCATGCAGGACTTATTAAAGGCGTTACGATTGCCAAAAAGGATGTTAACCATGACATGGTTCCTGTTGTTCGACTACAACATATTCCAATTGATGTTGTTCCAATCGACCTGTCCAAGGAAGAGGAAGAAGAAATCTTACAAGCTCGAACCGGGCTTGCGTTAAACAGTGATGACGAAGTGGAAGACACAGAGAACATTGAAGTGTCTGGAAACGCAAAGAGTCGGAGCAAGCCATACGATCCTTCCCTTCCACTGGGTGTTTGGGTAATAAACGCCTTGGCAGAACCCTGCAAGCCATCTGCTGTTCAGCAGGCCTTGATAAAAGCCAAGATTCGAGAAGGGGGCCCTCGGGAAGCAAAACAGCCGAGAGCGAAGAAAACCGATAAGACGAAATCAGGGATGCCTGCTGGTGCACTTAACAAGTTTGTGCGAGCGACAAAGCCTCATGCTACATCTACGGCAGCTTCAAAAACGACTGTTACAAAGGAAAGTAAAACCACTTCGCCGACCCGTGCAACAAGAACCCGCCGCCTACGCATACCGTCACCTTTGGAGCCAAGTAAGCAACCTATGTCCACCTCGGAGAGCCACACCAGGCAGACTGCAACCCCTTGGTCACTTGCCAGCTCACAGGTGACGCCTAGGACCCGAAGCTCTACAGACGGATCACAGCAGGCGATTGTTATCACATCTAGTCCGCCCTGCGCAGCAGAGTCGCCTCCCCCTTCGCCATCACCACCGCCAAGGGCTCGTGCCTCTGCTTCTCAGCGACAGTCTGGCACGGTGCATACAACTGTTGCCTCGAGCGGTTCTCCGCAAAGGTTGAAAGATACCACGCGAAGTAGCATACGTTCGATGCAAGCAGCTTCTTCTCAGTCGTCCCAGCCAGCTAAGTTAAAGCAGACTTCCATGGACATGTTCACTAGAAAGTCCAAGAACCCGAGCTACTCCCAGCCTTCTCTCACAAAGCCTGCAACTCGGCCCTCACCTCCCAGACGACAACCCAAAGCAAAGGCAACTTTTGACGATGACTTTGATAGCGACTCATCTGATCTTGTTCCACTCTCGTCCCTCGTCTCCCGCGCCTCCGCATCTCCTGACAAGCGACAACAAGAGTATCCTCCACCAACCCGAAACTCAACTCCCAGCCCTGTCCCTGCGCGGAAGAAGAAGTTACTCATCCCAAGGGCCAGCGCTGTTGGTTTCTTCAAAGAGGTCGAGGTAGACGCCGAAGAGCGGGATGAGTTGATAGCTAGGGAGACAGCAGCTCTGCAGCGTAAAGGGGTCAGAGCGAACGTTGTTCGGGTGAGCGATGTTGGATTTATAGACTTGACGCAGGATGATGATTAAGAATCTACACATACGAACAAGCATGGAGGCGGCGTTTTGAGCATTGGTTTATAGGCGTTACATAGCGAACAGCATGGTCATCGAGCATCGCTCCTGGTATATTACAACAGATTAAATGATAACATTCGTCGTATTGTTACGACTTGTAATTGCGAGACTATCATCTCGACCTGAGTGTCCTATAGTAAAAGTACAATATTACAAAACCCACAAATGGGGTACCCAAACCTATCCGAACTCCTATACAATGCATACCACGCTTTTCATCCTTTTCCTGTTCTCCAGTCTATTCTATATCCGATCAGTGAAATTATATTCCACCCATCTCAAGATCCGGGTCGACCTCTGTACCCAAATCCCGGTCTTCAACAAAACGACGCCCAACAAGGTCGTCGGGCAAGTACGTCTGTTTCACTCGTCCATCACGGTAGTTTGGTGGATACTTGTATTCAGCTCCATATCCCATATCACGCATAAGTCGTGTAGGCGCGTTGCGCAGATGAAGAGGCACAGGCAGACCAGCCACACCTGGTTCACGAAGAGCTGCGTAGGCGTTGTTGAGAGCGCGGTACGCTTTGGTACTCTTAGGAGCGTTACACAGTGCAAGGGCGCAGTGTGCGAGAGGAATGCGTGCTTCAGGCATACCGATTTGTTGCGTGGCTGTATATGTAGCCGTTGCGAGAGGCAGTAGGGTGTTGTCTGCCAGTCCGACATCTTCAGAGGCAATGACAACCATGCGCCGGGCGATGAATAGAGGGTCCTCGCCTGATTGAAGCATGCGGGCAAGATAGTAGAGTGCCGCATCGGCATCGTTTCCTCGTACAGACTTGTGGAAGGCAGAAATGGTGTCGTAGTGTTGGTCTCCTGCACGGTCATATACAAGGGTCTTCGTAAGAGCGGCCTTGATATCCTCTTGAGTGATGCCATCACGTTTCGTGAGTGAAAGAGCCAATTCGAGGAGGTTCAAGGCAGTGCGAGCGTCGCCATCAGCGAAACGGGCAAGATATGTGACCATGGCTTCATCCAGAAGTGGTGTTGATGGATATACCGCCTCTTCCTCCTTGATAGCTCGCTGCAAAATGCGCACCACATCCTCAGTTGTGAGAGATCGGAGCGTGAATGTACGACAACGTGAGAGCAGAGCGCTTGCTACCTTGAAAGATGGGTTTTCCGTCGTAGCACCAATGAGAGTCACAGTGCCAGCCTCGACGGGCTTGAGAAACACATCCTGTTGGGCCTTGTTGAAGCGATGGATCTCGTCGCAAAAGATAATCGTCTTGCGACCAGTAAGAGCAAGGTCGTTGGTCGCCTCCTGGAAGAACTTCTTGCATTCACTGACCCCTGTGCTAGTGGCATTGAGCTCAATGAACCGACTGCCAACCATATGTGCTATACAGCGCGCTATCGTAGTCTTTCCTGTCCCTGAAGCACCCCAGAGAATCATCGAGGGTACTTGATTCGACTCGATGAGGGATCGTAGAACGCCGGTCGGCCCAACAAGATCTTGTCCGCACACTTCGTCAAGGGTTCGTGGTCGCATTCTTTCAGCTAAGGGCGCGGCTCGTTGTGTTTTTGTCTTTTTCGTCACTCTTCCATCTTGCTCGGTTGCTTTATCCCAGCCACTTGTTCCGTTGACAGCATCCCCATTCGTAGCATCGTCGGCGTCCTTTGTGCTCCCTCCGAGCCCATCGCCAGGACCCTCTTCAAATGTTCTTTTTCTCCTTGCTATTGGCTGCAAAACTTCTTTAACAGGCGTAGCTGTTCGGTTTTCAGAAGCAGCTTGTCGTTTCGGGGCGGGCGTAGAAAAGAAATTCGAGGCGTTTCGTTTTTGTGAATTACTTTGAGTTGTCTGTGACTGCGGCGGCGTTGGATCCTTCTCCTTATCTATCACGAATTTCTCGCATCCTGAGTCGATGTGGTTGTTGATCTCAGACGGCTTTACAGGCTTGTTGCAGATTGGGCAGTCAACTGCCATGGTCGCTTCAATTTGGCCGATGACCGGATGATGACGGATAAAATTTACTGGCTGTGCAACCCAGCAGTGGTTGTCAATTCGTGTCGTGTCGTGTGGTTGTTGGCTGACTCCAAAGTTATAATTTGAAGAATCGAAGCTGGCTGCCAGAGGTTGAAAGCTGTACCTCACTACGCCCTATGGAGTAATGTTAGGTCGACAACGGAGTAAATTACAGTGGAACGCAGCTGGAACGCGTTCAGGTCCGCGTTGAGTGAATTCGTGGGGACCAATCCAGGAACGGCGGCCCGCTCTCGGCTCCATAGAACCGGTAGTTCACTGGCTAGCTTCCATTCACCAGGTTTACAAGAACAAACATTAACACCAAAGAATTATTTCAGAGATATAACACAAGAAGAATAGTTTATTTTCATCAAAACCAAGGCGACAACTTTGAATAGTTGGGCTGACTAAAAATGCTAAAAAGCCCTGAGACATAACTCCATGTAATGCGCAACTGCCGCCATCCCTTCCTTTCAAATGCTAATTCCATAACGCCGATTGTCGCCAAGTTGATATAGTATATGATATACTGACTTCCAATCCCATTAAGCTGAAGTCTTGAGAGATCGTACTTTGGGTGACGCGATACTCGTTTCCGCTTTCCTCTTACCCAGCACTGGTGTATTTTCGCGATCCCGTGTTGCTTCTGCGTGACATGAAGCATGATATGCACGATTACCGACTAGAACTGTGTCTAGCCATACCCATTCCTGTGCAGTGTCGAGCCATTTATTCTCAAAGCGATCCTGGCAAATTGGACAAACAAGGTTGATACCACGAGACGGGTCAGGAACGGGGATGTACTTGGGCTTGGCGGCTTCTGATGCTTTAACGGCCTGCGCGGCAACGTCTTCAGTCGTTGGAACGTGGTCAACATCGATGACCTCTCTTGACTTAAGCCACTCCTGCATTTTTGTTAGTAACTATAATATAGGCGATTCGGGGCTGAGACTAGTACTTACACTTTGGTCAACGTACCAACTCCGGTGCATGCCTCGTTTCTCGGCCTCATTGGTTCGTTGGTGGACACGGAAATGCCAGTCCATATGGGCAATCTTCTTCTTCTTCCCGGCCTCATCATCGCGGAAGCGTCGACCGCATTGAGTGCAAGGTTGGCCCAAGTCGTTATGTAGCTGTCGGATCAAGGAAGACTGACAGGGTTGCTTCAGAGCGGCCACATTGATACCGCCTTGCTGTACTGGTGCAGGCGGAGGTGTAGGTGTAGGTGGCAGTAGGCCTGACTTTCGTAGTTGATCAAGGAGACTCCATGGCGCTGCTGAAGCTGCAGCTGGCGGTGGCACCGGTGTAGATGCTGCTGGCATGGTCGGTGTTGCTGACATTGTTGGTATAGGCATACCTGGTATATTCATGGCTGGCATCGCAGACATCGCAGGCATTGCTGGCTTTGGTGGTTCATGTTGAACAGGAGGCGGCTGCGGAGTGGGTGTCGAGTTTTGAGGAGTGGCCGACTGTCTTGCCATCAATGCTGCCAGCGCTCCCTTGCCCAAGAGCGCATCAAGCGTCACACCTTCTTGCGCCGGAGCCGGGGCTGCGGGCTGAGGACGGGCTACGGACACAGGAGGCATTGGGATAGAGTGTGCTTGAACAGGCACAGGAGGAGTAGGCGCAGGCCTTTGGGTCAGAGGCGCCATCATGTTTACAGCAGCAAGTTCAGTTACTTTGTTCTTAATGAGCTCAAGCTGGTCCGGGGGCAAGCTAGTGCTGTTCACAATGCCCTGCAGGTCATGAAGTGCTCTTAATCTAGTCTGAACACCAGGGTCATGGGGGTTCCTCGAGGCTTCCGCCTGCGTGGCAACAATTAGATTCCGAATGTCATTGCTCAATGACTGTCCTCCATTTGATGTGTATTGTTGAGCTGGATGACCCGGTGGGAGTCTCATTCCAGGTGGTGTCGGGGTGTCACGATGCGGCACAGCAGATCGCGGTCGCCCAGGCATCATTCCCGCTTGGGGCATTGTTGCAGCTCGTGCCTTCAAGAGCGCATTCTCAATAGGTCGCACCAACTCGTGAGAAAACACAGGTCTGCTGTCCATAGATCCAGGAACAGGCTCCTTCCATGTTCTAAGCATCTCCTCCATTTTACGACGCACGGGCTGATCGACTACGGCGTATGATTCCATAAATGTTTTGAAGAGATTGCGACCGAAGTAGAGCGTGTATGGGGTGCCAACATTCTTGACAATCGAGTCTAGTACGTACAAAGCTGGGAGTTTCTTGCTTGGAGCCGCCTGTAACGAGGATTAGCGATTATACAGAATAGGAAAGAACACGTCCTTTCGAACAGGACATTGGATCACTACTTACCTTGAGGATGTGTTGCTGCAAAACTTCCGCGATCGCTAGGGCATGTTCAGTATTCTCTCGAGCAATAACAGTCAGGTTGCTAATCTCGAAGCGCAGATTGCCAGAAAGATCTTCCAAGGCAAGGCGGTAATCCTCCGCCACCTCAGCAGAGTCTCCAGACATGGTTGTGATGTTGGAGACGGGCGCAACTGGTCGTGTGAGGCGAAACGAAGGTATTGGTGATGTTTGGGACAGGCTAGGCGAAGCTAGGTGAGAGGCAGGCGCGGGCTAGGTAGGTACAGTACAGTCCCCGTCGAGTGAGCTCAGGAAGGAGGATGGTGGATGCCTGAGGCTCCACTTCAACAAAATGGTCTTGTCTTGACTCAAACGCGAAAGATAAAGAAAGATAACGATTATCCAAAATCTTGAGACAGGTTCCAAGAGGGAAAAGGTTTTCTTTACATATATTCCCTACTCCGGCAATAGTGACAAATGAATACCTATTTTTGTTTGCTGCTACGACTTTCTTTTGAGGTGTAAATATTTGTCGACTCTCGGACTGTCAACCCGTCCTTTGTACTCTTTGTTCTTTTATTATGACCTAGGGCCACATGGTCTGCGAGAAAATTAAATGAAAGAAGAACCGGGGCCCTGTGTAGTAGGGAAGGCGGACCTTTAAATACCTTTCTCGTGTTTAAGTTTCTATTCTGAAGCATGTTGGTCACTCGCGTGACAGCGCCCAAGGTCTGTTTTGATGAAACATTTCTATACAACCTAATTGCAAAATATCAGATATAGCTGGCATCCAGACCATATAATACCCAATGACACCTGAATAATAGAAGCGGAGTCTTGCAAAGACGGATCCAAGTCCTGACATTACATGGGAAGGACGACATTCTACGGAAGGTCAAGACAAATCACAAGAAAATAGGGTACATAGTGTGTGTAGTCGAGATCACGATGTAACGATTGAAAGAGCTTGCTATGAAAAAATTAAAGAATGTTGTAAATATAGGTCCTCCAAGGACCTCTGGGTATTTGACTCCTTATCCCCTAAACGCCGCTTAATTTTCTGTCCGTTTTTCCTTCATATACTAAACGCCCTGATAAATCCCCTTTTCCCCTCGCAACTGACTTAGAACCGGGACATGCGGGCCTCGGAATACATGCTTGGACTCGGAGCTCTTCGCATGTTCATGGGGTGCAGAGCTGTGTCAGGACGGCGAACTTCAGGTACAATCGGGCTGCGGCGGTCCATTTCGGAGTCGTCGTCTCGCTCATGATGGTAGTTGGCGGGTGCGTTTCGCTCAACATCATGGTCATTAGCCATGGGGTGGCTGATGTGTGGTCGGCTGATCGGTTGGCTGATATTACGTCGCAGAGAGCCAGACTTGGAGTCATCCTTCTTCCAGAAAAAAGACATGAACTTCTTCTTAGGTTGTTCATCGTTGAAGGATGCGGTGTAGTTGGACTGTGCCTTGCCGAAAGAGTTCGAGTCGTCTCGGCTTCGAGCCAGAGAACCATCGGCGCGAATCATGCGAGCGTTGATATCGCGGTCGCGGAAGATGATAGAGCAGATGATGTTCAGCACACCAGAGGTGAGAGTTAGAATACCGGCTGCCAAGATCAGTCGCCAGAAGGGGAGTCCGATCTTGTCGTCGCGGTTGTAAGGAGAGTTGAGCTTTCCAAGGATATTGGATCCAATCAGAAGAAGACCGGCACCCAGCCAAGTGAGGCCATGAGCATCGGAGAAGACAGGCCAATTCTTCTGAAAGTAACCTTTGCAGAAAGGTAATTCGGATATAATAAGGAAGATGGTCGCGGAGCTTGTGAGAACCAAGGACATGGCTTCGAAGAAAAACCACCCTGCAGATCGGTTGATCTTGATAACGAGGATCCAACAAGCGGCGGCGGCTGTGATAAGGCTGATGATTGTGAGGACGCGAATGACCTGAAGCACAATCATGCCAGGACCGCGGATATTTTCACCGAACATGGTCGGAGAAGTTGTTGTTTAGGATAGTAAGATAGAGTCTTCGGGTGTAAAAGAGAGTTCGGTTCGGATTCGAAAGTAGTGATCGAAAGGCAGGAAGCTGAGAGAAAGGGTCAGAATGAGACTATAGTTGCAGTTTCTCTATATATAACTTACTGTGTACTCTTGCTTTGGGTAGAGAGGTGATCTGGGTAGATATATGAAAATGACCAGACAGTGAAAGGGCGAAGTGTAAGTAAGTGAGTGGCTCAGGGTATACAAGTAAGTGAGTTGATGAGGCACAAATGAAAGTTGTATGATTGTGGAACCGGTCCGAACAGTCAATAAGTGAACAATAGGTAGTAACAGAAGGGAATTAATGACAGAAGGAATAAAGGGTGTCAATAAAGGTGATTGAACACCATTATTGTTAGGCTTTGAATGAATGGAGAACAATGGGAGAATAGAAGAGGGGCTCGCTTGAACAGTTGGCCAGGGCAGACTTTAAGAGAAAAGACTGCTGTATAGTACAAAGGGCAATTTGTAAGAGACAATGCAGAGATGCAGCAGGCATGTTGAACAGGCTTTTGTCCATCCCTGCAACCACCATCAAGAAAAGCGAAGCAATCAAGAGAAGCTAAGGGTTGTTCCTCACTCGAGGAGCCAACCGCAAGGCGAAGCGACTCACGATTCGATCTCATCCGCATCGAATCGCGTCAACGATTGACTCTGATGTTGGGCTCCACTCGGGCTTCAACATGATCAGAGCTGGCGTATCTGTATCATGGCCGTGATGTTTGGCCTTGAGCGAGCCTCTATTCAGACTCGTTTCAGCGGTTCCCTGATCCGAGTGGAGAGTGCAACCAGGAGATGGGCAGCAACAGGTCGCAGCATTGCAGGCCAATGGACCCATTGCAGCGCCTAAGTCTGGTACTCGTGCAATTTCATCCGCAACCGCTGTGTTCCTGGAGTTTGGGCGATATCGCTGGTGGTTTGGCATATAGTCATTCGCGAGACCGGGGTTTACAAGGTGGACGATTGGTTGTGCAGTGTCGAAACGTTGTTTCAGACCTGGGCCAGGGCATTTATAGTGGAGTCATCTTTGGGCAGCGCTAAGAGGTCTAGAGGTAGTCTACAGTTTTGGCCCATGGTTTAAGGTCCGCTTCACAAAGGAAAAACAACAGATGAATAAAAGATGAATCATGTCATCGAGTTTCATTGATGCGTTGTTATCATTCTCAATATATTGCAAGCCAATATCGTAGCTTCGGGTCCTGTTTCATGGCGTTCTGAGACTACTCCAGATGTTGATTCAGCAGGGCTATCCAACTGACAAATTGCGGTATCTTGCACTTTCACAGATATAAACTGTCTCAGGGATTTGACATCGATACGTAGAGTTTCTATTCAAATTCATTGGCTTCCATGTAAAATTGTTACTATTGTGGGGGGCTCTATGCTCTGTTGCTGCGTCAGATCTTCCAGTTCACTGTTCTAGATACCTGTACCTACCTAGGTACCTCAGTACCTATCTCAATTTACCATCTTGTTCTTAGCTTTCTCCAATCAAGCTGAATCGTCCCGACTATCCAAAATACCTACCAAGCCAAACTCTCGTGTTCGCATATCTTGGTCGCTTATTTTAGACCCTAGACTGAGATGAAGCGCCAGGATTGGAATCATAGGCGCGATGCTATTTTAGACATCGGCTCGTGTTAGTTAAGCGCTTGTGTACGGATTGCCGCAGCTTCGTCGAAGAGCATTGAGTAAACCTACGTTGAAGACAATTTTAAATCTTGTTGCCAGGCGTCTATTTTGAGTTCCAGTTCAAGTTAAAATGGCATAATCATGCTTCATTGGTTCGTGCCTCGAGTGTATCCAATCAACCCGCAAAGCCTTCAATATCATGTGTAATTTGATTATGTTTGTTGGCTATGAACCTAACCGTCCCTTGTGCAGTAAACCGAACCTGTGTACGTCACTTATTCCTGTTCTGAATGTACTCTCAAAGTGTGCATCACAATGTGCAGTGAAGTCTACATACCCGTATAACATCGTAATAAATGCTTGGTAACACTACCACCAGTAAAGCGAGGTTCTGCGTAAGCGAGAGCTGAGTGGGTTGATCAGTCTAGCCAGGGTACATGAGTCTACACCAAACTCTCAGCCAAAACCAAAGTACCTGTCACGGCTGCTTACCCTGTGTCGAGTGTCGACCGATCGACCCAAATCGAGGCCATTCAGGTTTCCCTGAAACTTTGCCCTCCGATTGGCTCCATGGCTAGGACTTCCACCAAAACGGAAAGGGCACAGCCTCCAGGCCCATCCCTAAGGTTTATCTGACGGTCTGGCCGCTTGTGTCGCGACCTTTCCTCTTTTCCCTCTTCTTCACCTCTTGCTTGAATACGAACGTTTAACGGTCGAATACCCCTGTTTCTCGATTTTTCTTTGTAAGAGTACCCTGCTTCAAACCGTCATCATGGCTCGTGGCAACCAGCGTGAGAAGGCTCGTGAGAAGAACCTCAAGAACAACAATGCGGTTAGTCTTACCATTGATGCCCTCACCCCAGGCAGAGATGCGCAGCAGATGATGAACTGACATGGCATGTTTCGCACTTATAGAAGACCAAGACCAACATGAGCGGTACTCAAATGCAGCACGCCAAAGAGTCCAACGCCGATATTATGCGACAGAAGCAGGCTGCTGGTATGTCCGAACCACCCCCAACCCCCGAAAACGAGCCCTATAATGCGACGACCACAAACCAAGAGGCTGCTGCTCCTTGAACAAGTGAATACTAACACAATAATCTATAGCTGAGGCTCGCAAGGCCGCTGAGGCCAAGAAATAAATGCTGCGATATGATGTACGAACACTATCCACTCTGGCTTGAAGAAAAAATATCGTCAATCATGTGCATGGAATACCACAACTGCAAGAGATGGAAGATAAGGGCCAGAGGCAAAGGGGGAACGTTCGGGATCAGATATTCTTTTCAGCGACGAAACGAAACGACTTTTGGGTAGCACAGGCGAAGTGGTGCAATAATATGGGTTGGGTTGTCTTTCAAAAAACAGTTACTACATACATAGGTAGCCTCTTGAATACATCTTTGCGATGATGTTTGCTCGTGATGGCTAAATACGCAGCTCTAGGGTCCCTTCTTTTTTCTCTTTCGCTCTTAACCTCTACTTGTAGGACATGGCTCACAGACAAATGGTTTCAATGTCGTGCGCAATGTCAACTATCTTCTGATTGCTCTTAGGAACATATTTCCCGCAAATCAGAAATGTGTTAATCGGCCGTGGTGTCGGTGTGCATATCACCAGGAACGGCAAGTCGAGGAGTATGCTCCCCTTGATGTACAATCACAACCACAAACATGGCTTTTCATACCGAGAAGACTGTTTGCTACTACACTTTGAGAACTGCCTCACTCATATCACACTAGATGCGAAAGCTCTTTCGACCCGATGCACAAAGACAGTCGATTCCTAAACAACGAATCACTTCTGGCACTATCGAGATGAAAGGCACACATTTAAAGATCATGATCAAAAATTAAGTTTCGTCCCATAGGTTTTGTCCCATTAACTAACTATACCGATCTTCAAACCCGTGAAGATTTCAAATGCCATCTAGGCTACCCAAAGAAATAATCCATACCGTCTAAAACCCATAAATGGTACATTCAAGTAATAACACATCGCAAACAAGTACTAAGCATCTTCCGTGGTATCAACACTCCTCGTCTATCATGTCGTTACTTAGCTAATACCGCCAAGGTTGTAGGGCATAGCTCCTGAGATATTGTTAGTCTTTGTTACAATGAGTAAAGATTGTATGGTTCAAACTTACCAGCCATGCCACCAAATGAGTTGATGCCTTGGGCCGCGGCAGGGAAAGCACCAGCGGCGCAAGAAACGTGGCACACACAGCTGCCGTCGGGAGCAACAGTGCCCTTGCCAGGAACAACTCCTGTAGCCTCAGGAGGAGCGGCAGCAGCATCAGTGCCAGCGGGAGGAGCGGCAGCGGGTGGTGCGGCCTCAGCAGGCTTGGAAGCGGCGGGAGGAGCAGGCTCACCACCCTGGATGGGAGCAAGCTTACCGTCACCCTTCTGCTGGATGGCCATCTCCTTGAACTTGGCATGGGTCTTCTCAGCTGAGGGGTTGATGGAGAAGACCATACCCTGACCACAGTGGTTGCCCTGCTTGCAGTAGAACCAGAGAGGAGTGTCGACCATGACTTGCATAGCAACCTGGGGGGGAGGAGACACAGTGTTGTTGGGGTTGGCCATGAAGCCAGAGTCCATGCCGCCCTCCATAGCATCACAGGGGGTGTCGAAGCCAGACTGAGAGACGGTGTGGTTCTGTGAGAGGAACTCGAAGACGACAGTGTCACCGATAGGGATATCGTGGAGCTCTTCGGGCTGGTAAACAAGACCTCCAGGGCCACCAACGGTAACAGTGTGCTGGGCAGCCTCAGCAGGCTTAGTCTCGATAACCTCTCCACCCTTGGTGATGGTCTGAGTAACTGTGACCTTCTCGTTGACGGTTGTGGTCTCGGCACCAGCTCCGGCGTTGTGCCAGATGATGATGATCTCAGTCTTGGACTCCTTGGTAACACCGGGGTGGACAACCTTGGCAGGAGCCTCGACGACCTCAGCAGGGTGCTTGACCTCAGCAGGAGGAGCGGGATGCTCAGCAGGGGGAGCGGGAGCGGCTACTGGATGCTCAGCTGGGGCAGCCGGTGCAGCAACAGGGTGCTCCATGGCAGGCATCTCAGGTGCTGCGGGCATCTCAGGCTCAGGATGTGTTCGTCGTTCATGGAAGCGGGCGGCAAAAACCATAGGCGCAAAGGCGGCCAGGGCGAAAGTTGAAGTCTTCATGACGTCGTTCTGGGTATTAAACTGGTATGGTATAAGGAAATAGGTAGAGATGATCTGCCAGAGATTGAATCGGTTTTAGTTTTAGTTGATTAAAGGGACTCGAATAATGAAGAGGGCCTGCCTTCAATGAAAGGAAATCTAGGTGCAAAAAGAATGAAGCACGAAGAAACAATTGAGAACTGAATGAGAATGAGATATGGGAATGAGACGAGAATTGATTATCGTGGAACGAGCATGCTCTTATTATAGTACATCAGTCAAAGGCTGCTGCGACCCCTTGAAAAGACAAGCCTTCAAACACATGTTCGAAACACGGCCGCTGAAGAAGCCGACTGCTACTCTCAGGCTGAGAGTCTAGCCCTGCATTCGCTTCGGTTTCTCAAGATCCGATCACCATGGTCGCTATAGCGCTGTGGTTTCCTGTGAAACGACTTCTGGTGCGGGGGGTCGTTTCTGTGACAGATCCGTCTCGGGTCGCGTTTGGTGTTTTGGAGTTTTACCCCATTCCGCTACTCATCAGCGCCAAGCGAATTATATGCGACAGATAATGATTGGGTTGTTTTCTTACGTAGCACCCAGTATAGGGCAAAAATGCTTAATTAGGCCTTGTATAGGGTCGTATTGCTAACCAACAGCAGGGGTAAAGTTTTTAGGGATGAGACCCAAGCTCTTACACATAGAGACAGGTCCGACGAGCCAAGAACGGGAGTGCTCCTCTCCGTCCTATACTGCCAGTTGGACCAGCCGCTTAAGGCTATTGCTATACCAGAAATGAAGCTATTTCGTTATCGACGAGGTGGTGGCCAAAGCCAAGATATTAAATATTATAGTCGCCGTTTGAGCGGTATAACATTCGTTTCACCAACTGATCGTCAACGTCGAGGTTTCATCGACATCGTCTGGCCTTTTCATTTCACAAACGCTTAGGCAATGATTCAGTCGAGGAGTTTGTTCCTTGAGAGATTATGTTTCTTGAAGCTTGGCCTGCCATCATCGGCCGCGTGTCTTGTTCTGGGCATAGTCGAGTGGATATGAAGTGGTTAATAGATGTGTATTATTGTCCTCTGGCGGTGGTCTATGCTTCAAGATGCACATGCTCTGTCACGAGGAAGGCAGAAAATATTTTTAATATTTCCCTTTCAATATCAAGCTGTTTAAGCTCTCAAGCATGCTGTGGTACAGCATCAGACTCGTATTATTGATGTATAGAGACCTGCGCTGTGCTTAGTGTCGTCCTATAATCTCAAATATTCACTCATGGTAGCTATACCGTGACATGATATATACTTACAGATGCCTTTAACATCGCATCCAGTGACTTGTTTATGGAGGTTTCTCCACGATGTTCCATTTAAAGTCCTTCATCTAAGCTCATTCATGCACATACTCCCGAGTAAACGACAATCAATCTTGCGTCGTCGCATCAACGGCAGCTGTCCGACCGAGAACCCATGTCCAGCTCATGGCTTTCACAGCCACGTTGAGAGATGGCTACCGCTCTTCCGTGTTTCAAGGGTGGTATTCGAGTACATCATTGTTTCTTCGCTTACGAAGCATGGTTTTGTTGAGCTTGTTGCTGGCCTTCGTACAAGCCTGTGTAGTAGCCTGCATAATACCAGGACATGAGAAGTTTTTTGAGGCTTTCGTCTTGAACTATCGCGATTGGTTAGTCAAACAGTGTAGCAGATGGCGGTTCAAAAAGCTTGGCTTACCAGAACCTAGAACGGTCTGTATCGGAAAAGCAGGGACACCTTGAGACTGAGACGGAGCCGGTCCCTTAGACTCGTTCCGTGATGAAGGGATCTGCAAAGATGGTTAGCCGTACGGAAGTGATGAGATCCAAAGACCGGATGAGGCTCGGATAGATTAGGCCGTTGGCAAGGATGCGTACCTTATTTTCCTCGGTTCTTTCTGAGATCAAAACGTTCTCTTGTGTTTCTGTTGTTTGAGGCTGTTCAGGTTCTGGCTCTGCTTCAACCCTAGTTCATACGTGAGCAGGCTGTCTTCAAGATTTTATCACAAGTATTCTGCTTACTGGTTTTGAGACTCCAGATCTCGTAAACTTCCACCTTTGGCGTGTATGCTGTGATATTTCTGTGAAAGGTCTGTCAGTGAATGTTCGTGGTAAATCTATGGGCATACTCACTTTGTACTCTTGCAAAGCCTCATTCCAAGAATCTATGAGGGCGGAGTCATCCCACATCTCCTCATGAGTGAGGTTCTCTTGCTTTTTTGACATCTTGGGCTCAGATGTTGATATCTGTAAAGCTCAAAGGATTAAAGTGGTAACCCCCTGACTATTCGGTGTGCTTGGAGTATGGTTGAGATGAGATAAGTGATTGTCAACTAAGATGAGTAACTCCTTGCTTAGTTGTGAAGTTGAAGTATTTGGATACAAGGCGTTTCACCCACAGCTCAAAGTAGGTGTTCAGAATGTAAAGTGAAGTGTCCAACGTTGCCTGGGGCTGCTCTTACCATAAACTATCGCCAGTCGTTGGTTCCATGTAAGCTTCAGCAGCTCCAGGCACTTTTTAGTGGGACAAGCCACTGAAGGGACCCCAACCCCCACTACGATAAACTGATAATGGACAAAGTCCTTCACCGCCCAAATTAGATATGGCAGAATCCCAATTTTTTTATGGCCCACGCATCTTTTTCTGCGGGAGTCCAGCTTTTGCGTATCTAGCATCAAGACAACCATAACAGACATAATGGCACCAGAATTGAGAAAGAGAAAGTGTAAGTACTTTCAAACCCAGGCAAACTTCATGCGCTAATCCTTTATAGCTGCTTCTGACATCCAGAAGCCCAATGGCGCTGCCAAAGCTGCCAAGCCTAAGCGAAAGGGTAAGCATACAACACCAACAAGACAGTTTCATTCATGTCGCTGATACAGCTTTTCTAGCCCCCGAGGATGCGTCGCCTGTGTCGCTGAAGAAGCAGAAGTCTATCAAGAAGACCGCCGTCACAACAAAGGCCGCCGAGAAGCCGGCGCAAAAGTCCAAGAAGAGCAAGCCCGTCGAGGAAGTCAAGGTTGTCGAGGAGGAGTCCACCACACTTGATATCCCCGATGAGTCCGAGTCAGAGGCTGAGGAGGGCAAGGAGGTCCAGGCGATCGTGGACGAGCTCGATTCCGGCGACGAGGACATCACCGAGGGCGACGCCAGCTACAAGGATGGACAGGATGTTGGCAAGATTCCCAAGGTCTCCAAGGCTGTTGAGAAGGCTGCTAAGGCCTCCAACGAGGACACTGGCGTTATCTACATCGGTCGCGTTCCCCACGGTTTCTACGAGCAGCAGATGAGACAGTACTTCGAGCAATTCGGTCCCATTGTTGCGCTGCGACTTTCGCGAAACAAGAAGACCGGTGCCAGCAAGCACTACGCCTTCGTCAAGTTTGCCGAGGCCTCCACTGCCGAGATCGTTGCTAAGACTATGGACAACTACCTTCTGTTCGGTCACATTCTCAAGTGCCGAGTTATTCCTAAGGATCAGGTTCACGAGGATATGTTCAAGAACGCCAACCGACGGTTCAAGGCGGTCCCCTGGAACAAGATGGCTGGTAACCAGCTCAAGAAGCCTTTGACCGAGTCTGCATGGGCGAACAAGGTGGAAAAGGAGAACTCCAAGCGCGCTAAGAGAGCTGCTAAGCTCAAGGAGATTGGTTACGACTTCGACGCTCCTGAGATGAAGGATGTCCCTGCCCCTGTTGCTGCTATCGAGAACGGTGAGACTGAGACCAAGGCCATCGAGTCTGCACCTGCCGAGAAGGAAGAGGAGGCCAAGGTTGAGGAGACCAAGGTCGAGGAGCCCGCTGAGGTTGTCGAGGAGGTCGTCGAGAAGACCGAGGTTGTGACCAAGCCCAAGGGTAAGGCTGCCAAGGGCAAGGCGACAAAAGGAGGCAAGGGCCGCAAGACAAAGGCTTGATCGGGTACAGAATTGTTCAATTCAATGGGTTTTCGGCGTTTAAAGCGGCATAGATATAGTTCAAAAGAGATCCATAATGAAATGAATGCAAATTGGACATCCATCATTCAGTGTCACGCGCTATGTTGCAGGCATGCATTGGCAATTCTATCTACAAAACGAGCAAAGTTTCACAAAGATATGTACGCACATAAGCGAACCCATAGCACTCATAGAAAATAAAAGAGCAAGCAACGGGATTATGAAAGGCGATATATGGTCTACTTCGCGCTTGATTGTGAAAATGCCACGGTGAACAATGGTAATTTCAAAAGTGTGATGGCGAAGATGAAAAATATGTGAAGAAGAAAAAAAGAATCTCAAAGCGCGGACGTGATAAAGAAAAAAAGAACATCGCAAGGATCCACTTCCAACATGACTAAGCCAAATTTACTCAAGTTAACCTACAGCTTGAGCAAACCGACTTTATTCTCGCTATCAACCTGGGTTTATCTGTTGTTGGTCAATGGAAATTGACTATTCTGTTGTGTCTTAAAACATCTTCAATGAGAATGATTAAAACCTGTAACGGGCCTAAGTCACTTCACCGTAGAGGACTGGCTATGCGCCACGTTGAGTTATTCATGTTGTTTGAAACTTACATAACTTGGCCAAATCAACCAACATCATGCGGTGCTAGTTGGACTTCAATTTTTCAATATTGAGATGCTTTCTCCTAGTAGCCTCAAAGAGTTTTCCAATACAAGCCCACGTTACCGGCTTTTGGTCTAAGCGGTAGCCATGTGGGATGTATGGCACACGAAAGAGATATCACAATGGCAGTTTGAGAGGCAAGTTCTTTTGAGCCAGGCCAGACGAAATAAGTACCTACCTTAGGCATATAGGTGTAGCCCGAGAAGCCAGAGGAAATTTAACGGCCCTTTGGAGTGAGACTCATGGAGAATTAGAGGAAATTGCATCTTGGCACCATCTATGTATCAGCGAATACGGGTTCACAATACCAACAGGATATCATTCGACCAGTCTTTCTGACCTTCTAAGCAGTAAAAGAAGGCCTCAAATGTCCAAAAGAGCAGGTCGATGTTGTAACTGACAAAATGTTACAGTAGTAGTCGGCCGGTAGTTTCGGACCCGACTTGTTGGGATGACGCCGCACCCGTTGAAACGTCGCCAGCTCCAGGGAGCTCCAGGTACTGACATCCACTAAATCCCACCAATGCCTCAGCTGACGTGGTGCCCTGGAATTCTAGAGGTATCCCTCCCCGTCCCGTTGACCTAACACCAACACCAGGGAGGCCACTCTGTACTGTAATGTACATACTGACACGTACCCGACCTGGCCTACTCTAGATCCTGCATCCATTATCGCGTAAAAGCAACCCCGGCGCTAAGAATACTATATCTGCACGACATTGAACTTCTGAATGCTCGTGACTGGCGCATTCGAAGCTCACCATGTCTTCCGCTGTTACAACGAACCCGGCCCAGGCGACGAATTCAGGTGCGTGCAATCCCTACCCCTGCAATTGAGGTGGAAATGGAGAGTCGAGAACGTGTCCTAACCATGGGGCCTCGCTTCCCGCTCGTGCAGGGTCGTCCAAAAAGAAGAAGAACAATAAGAAGAAGAACGCCAACAAGAACAAGGCTTCCGAGGAGCAAACTGGTACTTCTGAGCCTCAACAGGGTTCAGATAAAGACGCCCTCGAAGACGAACCCGAGACACCCACTCAGCCCGTACGTAGCCATGACGCTTCCCAAATCATGCAATTGCGCGCGCGCTGACATGTATCGCCATTTTAGGAGACGCCAGTTGATGCAGAAGCCGAAGACGTAAACGAAAGCACCACAGTTCAAAGCAACGGGCATGCCGTAGAGCCCCAGGACAAGAGCAACGGGCTCACACCCCCTCCAGTTGATGGCGAAAAAGAAAACACCAACAATTCAGATACCTCTGCCAAGCTAGAGGCCATGAGTCAAGAACGAGAGGCCTTGCGGGCCGAGGTCGAACAGCTACGGAAGCAGCTCGAAACCATACAAGAGACGCATAGCAATGAAGTCACACAGCTCAAGAGCGACCTGGAAGAGAGCAATGCCGCCAAAGAGAACGCCGAGGAGGAATACCAGACTCTTCTTGGCCGTGTCGAGAAGATCAAGCAAACACTGAGCGATAGATTTAAGCGCGACAAGGCGGATCTCGAGGAAAGCAAAGAGCGTATAGAAGAGCTCGAGGCAGAAAACGAAGAGCTCAGGAATAGTGCAGCATCATCCGGTGGTGATGTTGCCAAATTAAAGGAAGAACTGCAGGATGCGACCCGGGAACTCAACACCCTCCGAAGTCGAAACAACCTATCGGCACAGAACTGGAGCAAGGAGAAGGAAGAATTACTTCGACATGTTCAACACCTAAAGTCAGAGATGGAGACGACCGCCAACGCCATGGGTGAGTGGGAAGTTATCGCCATGGAGGAGCGCTCCATCAAGGAGAGCTTGGTCGACAAAGTCTCGGAATTGGAGGAACAGGTCACCATGCTACGACAAAACTACGAGAGTGCTACTGCGGATAGAGATAGCCAGGCGACCCTCATCGAAAACCTGCAGAACGCTCTCCGCGAGATCCAAGATGCCCGCAAAAAGGAGCTTCGTGATATGGTCGAGACCACAGAGGCACAGATCCAAGGCCTCAAGAAGCAAGTCCAGGAAGCTGACGCTCGCGCTACTGAAGCCGAGACTGCCAAGCAGACTCTGACGCAAGAGCTTGAGCGAACAGCACCTTACGAGAAGGAAGTCAAGGAGAAGAATCTCCTAATTGGCAAGTTGAGACATGAAGCCATCGTGCTGAATGACCACTTGACCAAAGCACTACGATACCTAAAGAAGACCAAGCCAGAGGACAACGTAGACAGGTTTGTTTCTCCATATCCGTTGTTAAAATCTCACTAACCATGAAAAGGCAAATTGTCACTAACCATCTCCTCCACTTCCTCACCCTCGACCGCGGTGACGCCAAGCGTTTCCAGGTCCTCCAAGTCATGGCTGGCTACTTAAATTGGACCGACGAGCAGCGAGAGCAAGCTGGTCTTGCCCGACCAGGCACATCAAACAATTTACGCCTACCGATTTCACCTTTCAACCGCACACCAAGCTCGCCTTCCCTCAATGCCGATCTATTTGCGGACACATCGTCTGCAAAGGATAAGGAGTCGTTATCAGAACTCTGGGCAAACTTCTTGGAGCGCAGCGCACAAGAGGGTGCTCTAGAGACGCCAAGTCGTAAGGGCAGCACAAGCAGTGCAGCCACAGGGCCAGTGAGGCCAGAGTCCACAAAGCCAGAGTCGAAGAGTTAATGTTGAATATGGAGTTTTGATGTGGCAATTAAACTAAACTGACATGTGAGGAATGAACACGGTGCATGTTTCAGGGGGTTAGTGGGGAGATTATTTCACTGGACATTGTTACAAGAGAGAGAACGAGATACGTTTTTCAAGGTAATGGAAGATAAATTTGACGGTCATAGACCTTTTTGTATGAATAGCTCTTTTGAAAGAAGGGTTGGGAATACGCAGCAGGATGGAGAGGATTTTAACCATCATGTGCTGTTTCTGCATGCAAGTTCTGCAGTACATTCTGTGCATAGCCTTCGGCGTCCCTTGTAATGCTGCCAACGTCAATACGATTACTCAGCGCATCATTGACTCCCTCTACAACCTCACGCTCCTCCATGACCTCGCCCATGAGGCGGACTTCGTGGCTCCAATAAGCATGGCTGCGCGATCGAAGATCTTCGTCGCGTAGGGCTGTGTTCTTGACAATGCCCAATGCGCTGAGCTTACTCTTGACGACCATCAAGGCACGACCAGTTGCTTCAATGCGCTCAACAGGCGACGGTGGCTCAACAAATGCCCGGTTCGTGGCAGACAGATATAGAAGCCAGCCAAGGACAGCGTCAAAGCCAGCAAGAGTTACCAGGCGTGCAATTCGGGCAGTCCAGTAGAAGAAGTCGACTTCCGACAGACGAAGAGCGCGCGCATTGGCCTGGTAGTTGTAAGAGTTGACAAAGTAAACATCGAGAGCTGCGATAACAGCAGCAGCCATCGTGGCCTTTGGTCGCCACTGAGCGCCAGCTCGACCTGTGAAAGTAGGGCTTGTGACGAATGCGACGACAAAAAGGTTGGCGATATGAGGCCACAAGAGTTGTGGGAGAGCATAGTTGAAGAATGTCTTTGGTTCCTCCGAGGTACAGAACGGGCAGTTGGCCAACACATCGGGACCAAACTGCAAGTAGAGCAATCGACTCTCCAAGTTGACAAACCGGCCCCTTAGAGCCTCGTCCTGCTTTGTGAGAATATTATCGGGTCTCCCAACAGCGACTCGGTTGAAGAGAACATCGACAGGGATCTGGATACGGCTTTGCGTCGCAAGGAAGAGGTTCTCGGGTGCGAAGGGTGGGAGCGTCTGGACGAGGTAGCCGACTACGAAGAAAGCCAGAAGCGCGAGCGCAACGCCAACGCGAGGCGGGACGGGTACTATTGGTGCATTGCGACCGTGAGGGTTATTCTTAACTGATCGGTAGTATGATATAGCCTTCGGTATGATTATGGGTCCGAAGAAGATAACGAGGGAACGAAGACTGGGTTATAAGGTTAGCAGTTGTACAGAGAGTTGGAGTATAAGTGGCCGCCGGGGAGAATAGAGTATGTGAACATGGATGTACACAAGGATTAAATCAACTTACGAGTCCCAAGGAATTGCCATGATGGCCAGTATCGATTCAATATGGCCAAATGGTCTTTGATGGTAATATAGTGAAATTGAGTGAGGTCCAGGTTGAACACGGTCGTAACAAGTCGAGAGACGAGGCTGAATGACAATGACACGACGTCAGTCCAGGAACCAATATCGATAAGGCAAAGGTGGCGCCAAGACTTTCGTCAACGAAGAATGAGTGTCCTCGGCCAATGTGGAGGGACTTGGGACTTTGGTGGGGCCGTCCTCTTTTTCCAACGTAAAACCGACAATTTTTCTTCCTCTCGTTGATTCTTCTTTCTTTCTTCAACTCACAATCACAACAACACAATCATTCTTTCCTCAATCTTTACGAAATATTCACGATCCCAACTATAGCTCAGTAGCGCAATACTATGGCCCTCGCGCCGTTATTCACAGCGTTCCCTTCATTCTCTCCCGTGATACCAATTCAGAAACACCTCGCGTGTACTGTTTGGCGCTTTCGAAGCTTTCGCGATCTCTTCATGGTCGCCAGAGTCAAAAAGCAGCCTAGATCAAGCCCCAAATACCCTGCCAAGGGTTATTCTCTGTCGTGTTACAAAGTCTCAGCTTCGGCAATGAAGAACTTTGCGTCAAATTTCGAAGAGATACATCCCCAATCGTAGTCAAGTTTTTTTGTGTAAAATCAATGCTTTGCATGCATGCCTTTATTATGTGCGAATAAGCTATCTATCTGTCTAGAAGCGCTGTTTGTCTTATGACTTCTTCTTCTCTTCCGCGGCGACCTTCTCAGCGGCCACAGGTGCCTCCTTGGCCTGCTTTGCGTTGAGAAGTAGTCCAGCAGTACCAACAATCAAGTCGCTGAGAAGAGCAATGACTCCTGTGCAAGCAAGCTGCCACGAGGCAATGCTGACACTTCCAATAGGGGCACGAGGGAAAGACAGGATCCATTCCGCCCAGTAAGGGAACCAGCCGTAAGGCAGCCAGAACATAGGCTGAGTAGCGAACCAGAAGGGCAGGAAGTATTGCGGCGCGCGGGTAACGACGATGCGGACAACAGTGAGGACCTTGTCGAAGTTGGATCGTGACGCTTCGGTGGTTTTCTCTGTAGATATGTGTTAGCTAACTCCTTCTCCTTGCGATGGTACGACAAGCGGAACGTACTAGTCTTCTCCAGCTGATCGAGGAGCTTGTCGTGCTGGCGACGAAGCTTTGCCCACCTGGCGAATTCATCTTGGGAACTCGTGGCATTTAGGTCTCGTCGGACCTTGAGGTAATCGGCTTGGAGCTTTCGCTGCTCGCCGGCAGCCTTTGCGGTTGGGATAGGGAGGAAGTTGACCAAATTCCAGAGCTTCTTCAATTAGCAAGCGTGGCCTGAGAGCATAGCTTAGGCCGCAAGTGACGCACCAAGTTGTTAATTGCGGTGGCTCCAATGGTGTTGACGAGGTTGACGATAACTTCGACAACGAAGATGCTGAGCATAAGGGAAGCCATGGTTGCGGATCGAAAACTGCGCAGTTCAAAAGTCGGAACGGCTTTACACACTCTATGGGTGTTTGTTGCGGCGCCGGCTTGTGCTCGTGAGGGTCGAGATCAAGGTTGAGTTGATGGTGATGTTAGTTTTGGTGGTTCTGTCAAACGTGGTCAAGCCATGTCATAGCCCCGACACATGCATGGAGCTCCATCCAAACCCCTCCACACCACGTCCGCTGCATCGCGCTTACCCTATACAAATCATCTTCATATTCGTTGCTTCCTTACTTAGGTACCCAAATGATCCAATGTCACGAGCACTTGACAAGAGTGTGAAGGAAGCTCTCAAGCATGGTGACCATCAGAGGGTCTTCCTCGATATTTCTGATATTCTCATTGAGTCTTCAGATCAACTTCTGGAAATAGAGTTACTGGGCAAAAGTCATATCCTGGATCCTAGCTCGACAGTATTGCGAGACGAAAACGCGGTTGCTATACCCAAGCTACGCATAGTTCAAGCATTTATTGTGGCACAGAAACTTCACAAGCAATTCCTTGCAGACAATGGAAATGCCTCAAGAGATGACATCTTGAGGTCAACAGCAGTCATGCTGTTGATGGATCCTGAACATTTGACCGCTGCCAATACAAGAAAGAGGCTTATCATGACCAAGTTGGAGGACAAGGATGTCGAGGACATCCTACGTTCTGAGAAACACTTGCTCGATAGTTTACTAACTAGTCGGCTTCATCGACATACCAAATCACCAACATTATGGAATCACCGTCGATGGCTGATGGAACAGTATCGTCTTCACGATATCGAAGCCCCAGTGGAAGATGACATCTCGAATATCATCATGGTGTCGGGCGAACGACATCCCCGAAACTATTACGCTTGGTGTCACGCAAGATACATGATCAACGCGTGCGTCTTACCATCGTCAAAGACAGAGGAAGCTCTGTCCCGAATGATCGCGTCAACGCAAAAGTGGTGCTTCGCACATCACAATGACATATCAGGTTGGCAGTTCCTGATATTCTTGCTCGATAAGCGCCCTGCTGAGACATCGGCTGTGTTTCGTGAAACATTGAAGCTTGCATGCTCTTTCAAATGGCGCAACGAGTCTGTGTGGTATTTCCTTCGATATATCGCGGCATGGGTAGCTGGTACTGCTGACATGGAGGAGTTTGAGAATGTTCGAAGAGGATTATTGGATAACGCTGCTGAGGATGAGTCTGGAAAGCGCACACTTGAAAGAGCGACACAGTGGTTAGAGGTTACAAGTGGGATTACAGCGAAGTGAGGTTGTGGTCTTGTCCTCCCAAGAACAAGACTCTAACCCGTTGGTTGCCTCACGGCCATCTCTCGGGTATATGGACTGCGAAACATGGGAATAGGCATTGGAAACAACAGACGATATCGCCTGGCGATAGATGGAATGCTCAGACTATTTTCACTTCAGCGACAACTTCTAGTTATATGTCTAAATGACGATCTGCCGCTACCTGAACAATTAGTTTCTAATTGAACATCGCTACGTTCAGTGACCTATCACAGCCTAAGATACCCATTGATAACAGAAGTAATATACACGGAAATTGAGCTCTACTTCTGATCGACGTGACCCGGCCTGATAGTGCTGTATCTTGCCGGGGTTAAGATTAGGCATTGACTGCTCGCCGCAGTTGTTTCATCAGCGGGCCAGGAAACCCATAGCTGCCAGATAATGGAGCTGCCAGGACTGGGTATGAAGTCATTTGAGCCGCATGCGGTGAGGTACGATCCATTGTGTCGGACAAGCAATCTATCTGAGATTATGACCGGCAGCAATCTAGATGCGTGGAGTTCAGACCGAGCAGAATGAGATGCTCTAGCGAGCTCGGTTATTTGGACAGCGAGTTCCTCTATGGAACATAGGTCATCGGTTCGAATTCGTTAAAGACGAAGAGTCCTAAATATTGCAATGTTGCGGAAGATATGCTTCCAGGATCAGGGATAAGCCTGGTTGTATCCTGTTTATGCGTACGCTTTGACAAGACCTATATATAAAACGTGAATTGGACCTTAGATTGTATATTATTGGGAACACGATATGATTTTGCATAACGAATATTCACAGAAGGAAGGAACCTGAGACTGAAGAAGCAATATTCTGAGCTTGGATGTATAGACGGTACAAGAAGTGAAAGTATTCCTACATCAATGTTAAAGAGCCACTAGTCAATCTCTACGTGCCTGAATACGAACCCTCGAATCAAGGGACTGGTGAGTACAAAAGAACACAGTGCAGTGATTCAATTCTCAAGCCAGAGTGTCAAAAGCCTCGTACCAAAAGAGCTCTAGAATAAAAACTGGAGTGAGCTGACAGTTATGAGGCTCACGGCAGTAGTCAGGGGTTTCAGACGATAAAGTGGCGCTGCGGGATGTTTTGACGCGTAAGAAACACTAGAGTTTTATCGAGTCAGTTGAAGGAACAGAACCCTTGGAGCCAATGACATTGAGACTGAGATGCAAGCCTAGGGGATGTCCGATGGTAATGGCAGTCTGACTGCATGTTTGACGCCAGGGCTTCATGTGATAGTATTAATGTGATAATCGAAATGGAACGATGTTTGCTTGTTGCTGCAATGGCTCTACCAGTTGTTCAAAGTTTATAATTAAGCTTGATGTTAGCATAATGGTCGTGCTCTTGCAAGGCTTGAAACAAGTTCAGATGATGTGACTGTCCCTCTTCGTCACTATTGAAGATCAATACTGAAAGCCAAATGTTTCAAGCAAGGGATTCGATAGTAAGCCACAATATGCAGCTAGTGATAGTTCCCACTGAACGCGTGTATCGTTTGCACCATCCACAGTTGAAGACGCCTGAATCAACCGCTGAAGCTTGTTTTTAACGCTTGCTCCACGTTGCTTTGCAGCACTTTTCGTGTGCCACCATGCAGATCTCGGGGCCTACCTTAACCTAAACGCATTCGTCCATCTTATCGTTTCAGGGGTAAACGTTAGAGAAGTGATGAACTGAAAGCAGCATCTTGCATCGGTTGAAAGCAACGTCGCTATCATGTGTGTACTGCTCAAAGTAGAAAGAAGTACACGGCAGAAGAGACAAGCATTATCTTAGGCCAATATCCTTGACTTGACCTGGCTTTGACTTGCCTTGACCTTGACATGGGAGCTTGTAATCTCCACAGTTGGAGGTCCCATCAAAGCGGCTAAGACTGATGGCCCATTCAGAAGCCGATGACCCCTGACCCTAACAAAGATAGGCGTCCAGTGATGAGCAGAGATGCATCGTTCTACTGCACGTCTATTGCCTCCAACACGGAGGGCGTTCCTTTGTTTATTCTGAAGCTCCGAAGAGTCGGTTTTGGGCATGTGCTTGACATCTGATTCAGTCCAAGTCAAAGACCAAATCCAAGAGATGGTGAAATGAGTACCAGATCGGCAGGTATCGACTAGGTCCAGATGATCATCGAGCCAAGATATTAGATAACCAATTAGAGTCTTGTTCAAGCCTAGCTCTGGGGTCTAGAGTCTGGCCTTGGAGATGAGATAAAGATGGAGAGTTTTGAGAGTCCTTGTAGGTGACATAAATGCAACTCTATATTGGCAACTCTTAAATGATTTATCTATTTTGACAACTCGTAACTTCGCTAGTCTACTCACTGGCCTGCCTAAACTGGGGGCCCTTTCTCTTGATCGAGAGGAAGAGGTCAAGGTACAGCTGCATCAAGTAACCGTAACCCCCCCTGGACTCGACCTCTCTCCACTCTCCCCATACCTTCTGCAGCACATACCCACCACTTCCCGTCACTCTCACTCCCTCACCTCCACATCTGCTGCCTCTCTTTAATACTGTACCTGTATTGCTTTGCCTTAATTCGTAATAATCATTCCCTCTCCCTCTCCCTCCTTCGATCTTCGTCCCTTCCTTTTCTGTTTCGTTTCATTCTCGTCGTTTGTGTTTCCTCTCTCTTTGTTCCTCTTTGTCGTGCTCCCTCCAATATCGATACTCGAGCTCAACCCCAGCCCTTCAAAGAAACGCCCTGTTCCAAAAAGAGAGACTCGGGAATTGGTCTCAGTAACCAAGCCGCTTCCATTGTTCGGCTTGTTTTGTGTGTCTTCGCTTGTGTGCTCCAACTCGACATCATTACTGTGTCGGTTTGTTTCCAATGCTGGGCTCATAAATCATAATTCTTAATACACTCCAGCCAACTTTGGCTTCAGAGGCCTCGCCTCATCTCGTCTCCATTACTGTCCTTTCCAGCTCTGTCTTCATTGACCAGACGCGTTTGAGACAAGCTGTGACGAGCTGTTCCAATTAGCACCGAATCGGCCTCCATCTTTGCTCGATTCAAGCCAAGTCGCGGTTATATCAACCACTTCCAACTTCAGATACATTTCACGACAACAAGGACTTCATAGTTCTGATTCCAATACAGCTTCAAGATGCGTCCAGGATCATTGTTAGCACAATTGGCTTTCGCCTCATCAGTCAATGCATTCTATCCGTTCACTCCGAGTTGGCGTCTTGATGTGCCAATAGGACAAGAGAGCGTGGGACGAAGGTCACAGGGCGCAGGAAACAGCGATAGTGTCCGTATGGGCATCAAACAGAGAACACCCAAGGTTTGTTATGCGAAATGCCCTGAGGCACCGTTGTACTAACCATTTACTACAGTCCAGCCAACCGATATCAGAGAGAGCAGCCCACGAAGCAGCACGCTTAATCGCAAAGTATACAGGAGGAACCGTCCCAGCTACCAGTGTATTGGCTAAGCGCAAGAACGAGTACAATGTCATGGAGGCCACGGAATCGACAAAGAAACACACTCAGGGCGTCAACCAGGATGGTACCGATTACTCGTACTTTATCGAGGTTGGAGTCGGGTCAGAGAAGAAGCCAATGTACATGCTTATCGACACTGGTGCTGGCTCAAGTTGGGTTATGGGCACTTCTTGTACCAGCAAAGCGTGTTCGATGCACAACACATTCGGCGTCGACGACTCTGACACACTCGAGGAGACAGGCAAATCCTTTAACATCGCATACGGCTCCGGAAAGGTTTCTGGTAACTGGGTCAACGATACGATCACCGTGGCTGGTATGGACATCAGCTATCAGTTTGGCCTGACGCACACGACATCGGACCAGTTTCTCAACTTCGCCTTTGACGGTATTCTCGGTCTTGCGATAAACAAGGGATCCAGCGGATGCTTCCTCAACGCTTTGGACGAGTCTAAGAACGTCGACAAGAGCATGTTCGCTGTCGCTCTGAACCGTGCAGATGATGGTACCAACGAAGGCGAGATTAGCTTTGGCTCACCCAACCCCGACAAGTACACCGGCAAGATCTCATACACATCCATCGGTAAAGAGGACGACTGGGCTATTGAGATGGACGACATGGGATTCAATGGCGAGCAGGCAGGTGTTGGAGGCATGCGCAGTTACATCGACACCGGAACCTCATTCATGTTCGGCTCACCAGCCAATGCGAAGAAGGTCCATGCTCTTATCCCAGGAGCTGAGAGTAAGGATGGCATGACTTACCATGTTCCTTGCGACAGTACGGGCAACATGACCATCAAGTTTTCTGGCGTTGACTACGTTATCTCGCATAAGGACTGGGTTTCTCCTCCAAACAAGGAGGGAAAGTGTGCCAGTAACCTGTACGGTTTTGAGGTCGTCAAAGACGCATGGCTGATTGGCGACACATTCCTTAAGAACGTCTACGCTGTTTTCGATGCGGACGAGCGTCGAATTGGTTTTGCTACCACTGCTATCAACAACAGCTCTGATGACTCTGAAGAAACGACTAGCTCTTCGTCAAAGACAAAGACTTCCAACAAGCCAACTCAAACATCTGACGACAGCGAAGAGACAGGTATCACCACAAACTCCGAGTCAACGGCGACCGCAGTTCCGGACATGGGTCTCGGCAAGGAATCAGTCTCAACCGGCACTGCCACAGCCGACTCAACACAGGCGAGCGAGACACAAGACTCGTCGGCACCCACAGGGCTACTATCACAAGCCCGTTTCACATTCATTTTCTGTTTAGTACCATTTTTCGCCCTCCTGGCTTAGAAGGAGTTGGATGAGCGGCATTACATTCTTTTTAATACCCCGGATACAATCTTTAGACGCGCGAAGAGACGCGCATATACATACCGAGAGCTTCATATAGCATGGAAAGCCGCATATATGGACAAAGAAAGCTCACTGAGCATGTGAGGGAAGGAGGATGAACACAGATATACCCGATTGAAGGGAGGGAGAACTTGTCGGGACACAACAAATGGCACATAAAGCCATCTGAAATATTCTCATAGATAGACCATCAGACTCAATAGAAATGTTGGATGGACTCAAAGAAATGCCAAGAATCTGTTGTAAACCAACCAAAGACATATCCGGCAGGTTGGTCTGTTGCTAGTTGACTCGTATGGAAAGTTTCCAGAATTTCGATCGGTCCCTGGCCGTTGGAAAGGAGACTGTAAATTGGACCCCTATTTTCTATGAAATTTGCTCTGTGAAGAGTCTGAGTTTACAGCGGCTCACAACAAGCTGGTGGCTGTTATATCCTGATCAGCAGAACTTCAAAAGAAGCAGCTCTATCAAATTTAGGAAAACCAACAAATATTCTCAATGGATGTCGATTCTCTATTCACATCTCTTCTGAGCCTGGTGTTGCTGAATGGAATGATCCGTGCCCCTGCATAAGCAACTAGCGGGCGATTTCAGAACCAAGGACCAGATTTCACAAGGGGCCCAGGGCAGTTGCACCAATCCCAGCGCCTATCATGCTGTACTCTGACGCTAATCCCCTCTATCCTTGCTTATCTGGGGGAAGGACAGACAACCATCCTTAAGCTAAGATCCTATTACAAGGAGACAGAACCTCTTACAACTTACAACAAACACCAGATATTCTATCCTTTTGATTCGACAGTCGATCGTTTACCCTTGATTTTTTGTATCTCGACCATATAATAGTCTTTTTTTCCACGTATACCTACGACCGAATCGAATAATAAGTCTTCTCCTGGGGAGAAAATGTGCAGGCAATATCTCGTTGCTGCTCCCCTTCGACAATGACGCACGCCAGGAATAATGGCTCCCCAAACCCGCATGGCGAAGACCGCGGTCTTTTGAGCCACGGGCCCGACTACGACGACGATTACTTTGGAATTGGCAACGATGAGCACAGCGGCAGTGGTAGTGGAAGCACGAGCGCAGACTTGAGGAAGGCTTCAGGCAAGACCGAATCTGATGGGAATGGCCAGCCTCGAACACCAGGCCGCGTGCGCTTCGACCTTACGCCCGAGATCGTGGGAGTCAGCAATGGACAGTCCTTTGGTGGGTTCAGAGACGACGAGAGACGGTCCTCGGATGACGCATATTTCGACATTGAAGAGGCAACGAGTCCGGCGCGAGCGCATCGTACGCCCCTCCTGACAAACATCGAAGCACCAAGCGTGGCCCTCGCAAACTCAATGGGCGATCCTTCCGAACAAGCAGAGCACGAGATGAACCGTCCCAAGTCAGGACTCAAGTCAGCCTTCATGAATATGGCCAACTCCATCATCGGCGCGGGTATCATCGGCCAGCCCTACGCCGTGCGCCAGGCTGGTCTTGTCGGCGGCATTCTGCTACTTGTAGGCCTTACAGTAGTAGTCGACTGGACCATCTGTCTTATTGTTATCAATAGCAAGCTCAGTGGGACGAGTCATTTCCAAGGGACTGTCGAGCATTGCTTTGGACAGTCCGGGTTGATCGCTATCAGTATTGCGCAGTGGGTATTTGCGTTTGGAGGAATGGTCGCATATGGCGTTATTGTTGGCGATACGATACCTCATGTGCTAGTTGCAGTGTGGCCGAACTTGTCGGAAGTGCCTGTGATAGGGCTTCTGGCAAATCGACAAGTTGCGATTGCGGTGTTTGTGCTCGGTATTGGCTATCCTTTAACACTTTATAGGGATATCTCGAAGGTGAGAATCACAAACCAGATCGCATACATGCGCTCTTGTTTGAATAAACATGAACTAACAGTATATGTGTAGCTGGCAAAGGCGAGTACGTTTGCGCTTGTTGGCATGGTAGTTATCGTCTGTACCATTCTGGTGCAAGGCATCATGACTCCTGCATCAGAACGAGGCTCTTTCAGTCCGTCACTTCTTCTTTTCAATGGCGGATTCTTTCAGGCCATTGGTGTCATCTCATTTGGTATGTCATTACATTTGCACCCCTGAGCTTGCAAAATAGCTTACTGGTTTTCACAGCTTTCGTCTGCCATCACAATTCGCTCCTCATCTACGGATCTCTGAAAACACCCACTATTGACAATTTCTCTCGTGTCACTCATTACTCGACTGGTGTATCAATGGTGTTTTGTCTCGTCTTGGCTTTGGGTGGTTTCCTCACGTTTGGCGATAAGACTCTGGGTAACGTTCTCAACAACTTCCCTGCTGACAACACCATGGTCAACATTGCGCGTCTTTGCTTTGGACTCAACATGCTCACCACGCTTCCGCTCGAGGCCTTCGTGTGTCGCGAGGTAATGTTGACATACTTCTTCCCTGACGAGCCCTTCAACATGAACCGTCACCTCCTTTTCAGCACGAGTCTCGTTGTGGCAGCTCTTGTGCTGAGTCTGGTGACATGCGATCTCGGCGCTGTGTTTGAACTCGTGGGAGCGACGAGTGCAGTGGCTATGGCATATATCCTGCCTCCATTGTGCTACATCAAGTTGACGACACGGAGCTGGCGGACGTACATGGCCGGTGCAGTGGTGGCATTTGGCATGGTCGTCATGGTCATCAGTGTGATCCAGGCGGTACAAAAGATGGTCAACAGTAAGTTACCCAGATCTGCTCGAGACACAGGCCACCGGGTCTTTGGATAGCACAGCCTCGTACTAACACACTTTCGCAGGTAAAGATGGACCACAGCAATGTGCATAGGCCAAGCAGTGCTTCACCCTTTTACCTTTATTCATACCATTATAGCATGCCTAACGAAGCATTAAGAGATATAGACACTTCTTGGAATAGCAGACGTGTAAGATAGTAAGTGGCGACGCAAAACATATGCGACTGTGAGGAAGAATCGGTCATGTATAAAAGGCGGGTGGTGATCCGGTTACACATTTGAGTGAAACATGTCAAAGAAAACCCAGGTACTTGTGCGTACACACGCACTTTAGATTTATATGCTAGGAGTTGTTGGCGTGGCGTGATACACTGTGTCTGAGATATAGACCTTTGATGTTTCTTGATAACACATGAAGCACATGTTGAACTTGGTTATAGTGATTTGAAGTGAAGCTGTGATACCGCACCACAAGACAGGCTGCTCGTTCGTGATCAGAGAATATGATCATAGGTCGAACCTTCTTAACATTGCCTTGTTGTCTATACTTTTTACTCTCCAAGTAATGCCTGCACAATGAGCTGTTTCTGACAAGATCCTTCCCATTCCCCACCCATACCCATCTCACCAGGATAGGACCCTTCAAGTTCGCAGCGAATAAGCGCGCCATGCGGTACCTCACAGCAGGTGGACCTGACCTAAGCTGCACTGCGTTCAAAGCCTAGGTGAAGCATCATATCCAAGATGGGGGGTGTCACACACATGGACGAATCGCATGAGGGGGTAAAACAAAGCAGCAGCCCGCTATTTGCGTTTGACGCCAACCCAACCCCGCTTTGAGGAACCTTAGCTACGTAAATCTCGTGTGAGGGAAGGATGATTTGTTTGGAGTTTGATGGATACTGACTGTATCCATATCCTTAGGTAGTATGGGTAGATATATAATTTGACTTCCTTCCTTTCCCCTCTTTCCTTTCCTCTTCTTCTAGTGATCCAGTTTACTCAAACATCAACATCAACCACAACCTCAAACGTCTATAACACTTCTCGATACCACAGTCAAGATGGAGCCTCTTGTTAACTACCACGACAACACCTGCCCCAAGTGCAACGCCGCCATCGACGGCGCTGGCAAGACTTGCGGTAGCTGCGGTGCTGTACGTTTTAGCACTCCTCCCTCTCCTCACCTGCATCATGCTGACTTGCCCTAGCACTGCCCCGTCTAAACTTCCAAAGAAGAGGATTCACGATGATATGACGAGACGAGTTGAGATGTGAGATACCGGTGTTAAGGGAGCGTGGTTGCGGTTTGGGCGGATGTCATGATGAGGCCGCTCTTTGAAGCGTCACTCTTTTTGTTTGGGCGGCGGTTGATACTGGAAGTTTGACCTTTGATATTGTGCAGCAGAGATTACATTCGCTACTGTTCAACCTTAAGTTCTACTACTATAAGGAAACAAGACTGAAACATATCTCAAAATATCTGCTCCAAGCATCGCAACTAGTCCGTGAATGATGTCGCTTGGCGTGAACTGTCTCGACCAGGCCAACTCACCTCAAGCTGATGTATTTACAATCCCATGCTCCGTGGCTGGTTGACGGGATTACATCACTCGTATCACAACTACCGAAATAGGCTTTGGCGTCGATCAGAGGGTCTAGCATGGGATGGGTGCCACATGACTACACACTGGCACGTGGATGGGTTGTCTTTGATAAGAAGTGTCAACAGGTACAGGACCAAGACAGACTGGATAAGCAGCTAGACAGTCCTCAGACATCAGGAAGCTTGGCCTGAGAGTAAGGGACGGAATGAACGAGTTAGACCATGTCAGCTTAGACTTGACTTTTAGGCTGTTTGTTCTCTACACCCTACAAGTTGGAGTGATAACCCCTGGAGGCAAGCATCTGGTAGCTAGTGATCAATTGTGTAACCTCGCAGCCTGTATGATGTATCTCGATATGCTTGATACAACTGCAGCCACATTTTCCAAGTGTTAGTATACAGTCAAGTCACATCGAGGAAGTAAGCAGAATATACAAAAAATCAAGAGATTAAACAGGCAGGCCCTACGCAATAGATGTCCCATCTCCATGGTCTAAGTAACGGTCTCGAGGCTCCAAGAGAAAAAACGAAAAGATTTATGGCCCGATCCGACTTGGTTTCCCCAGCCGGACCCCATATCCACACACAAGCAGACGCAAACGCTCTCGCCGTAGCCAGTCCACGAAGCCTCTCCTGGCCTCCTGTAACATCTCCCAAGTGATTCCTCGTCCATCAACCTGCAACTGATAGACTGGGCAGGAGAGCAAGGAACGAGAGTCACTCCTCCTCCTCAATGACCCCAACAAAAAAAGACACCTGGCCCACCTCCCCGCGCGTGACAAGCACATACATAAAACAGAGGTCCCGCTCGCCTGCCAGTGGTGATAATAAAATAGATGAGGTATCTGTCGGTAATAGCAACCCCCCCTGCGAGATTCAGAAGGTCCAAGAAACCATGGGCTCCGCCGACCAGAAAACCATCAATCCAGCGAGAAGGGCCGGCGCGTAGGCCGATGGACCAGACATGAGCGAGACGATATCAAACTCCAGATTCCGAGAAAACCGATGCATGCCGACAAATTTGGCCTTCTTGGCTGCCACGAGCCCGTTTCATCCGAGCTACCGAGGGCCAAGTTGAGGTTGAACTGTGACGACAAGGATTATAACGCAGGGTCCACGGTACGTGTGCGTGGGCTGCGTTCAGAGGGCTTCGATGGGCCCTTTACAGAACAAGACACTTCTTGTGGGACTTGCCACGGGTGCTTCGTGAGAGCAGAGCAGCGCGAGTAGCGTGCTCGAATACTTCACGGACGCCCTCGTTGGTCTTGGCTGAGCACTCAAGGTACTTGTAGGCGGCGATCTTCTTGCGGACCTCCTCACCCTGTTGATGTTTGTTAGCATGTATTGACATGAGCTGCAGCAAGTGACCAATCAAGTCCGGTGAACCTAAAATGGACGCCTTGCTAGGGCGGAAATCGTACCTCCTCAGGGGAAACGGGCTTCTGGCTGGTCTTTCGGAGCTCCTCGATGATCTTCTGGTCGTATCGCAAATCCTTCTTGCAGCCGACGAGGATGATAGGGAGACCTTGGCAGAAGTGCAGAACCTCAGAGATCCACTGTAAAAGAGCACGTGTCAGCAAAGCTGTATTTATAGATGGCATCCATCATGAAGCCATTTGGTAGTTGGTGTCGGACGAACCTTCTCCTGGACGTTGTCGAGGGAGTCGGGAGAGTCAACAGCGAAGCAGATCAGGATAACGTGGGAGTCGGGGTAAGAAAGAGGTCGAAGACGGTCATAATCCTCCTGGCCAGCAGTATCCCATAGGGCGAGCTCGACGTGCTTGCCGTCAACCTCGACATCGGCGACGTAGTTCTCGAAAACGGTGGGGACGTAGACCTGAAGGTGAAATTGTTAGTAAAAGGTTCGTTGTTGTTCATTCTCGCCAGAGATAAGCGTCTTTAGTTAAGCCGCGTGGCGGTGCGATGGCTGAAAGACATCAACGGTGTCGAGTCAATGCTTACCTCGGGGAAAGTGCCCTTGGAGAAAACACTATTTGATTGATTAGCGACGAGTTGATGACTTGTTTAAAGAGAATGATGGCGATGATCGATGAAGATGGCGACATAACATGGTGAGGTGAAGCAAGGGGCGTCTGCATCTATCACGATGATGATAAAGATGATTGCGTCTAACAATGCGAAGCGCTCAACCAAACAAGAAGCCAGGAACAACTATCGCATTGATTTCCTGGTGTAGACTTGAACTGGCCGAGGCATCGGGTAGAGCCGACGCGGTGATGGACAGGAATAATACGGTGATGGGCGATGGGGACGAGACGTTGGTGTCGTGTCTTGTCGTGAAAGAAGGCCAACTCACATCAACAAACAGGTTTTACCACAAGCACCATCGCCGACAATGACGAGCTTTCGGCGAATCTCAGCCATGGTTATGGATTAGATGTGTTTTTGGGTGAAGAAGTTGAGAGAAATGGACGAATTTGCTGGCGTAGAATGCGAGCTTGAGCTTGAGGTTGAGCTTGGGAGATGGATGGTGCAGGTTGTGAGTTTCGCGGAGAGCGGCGGCTGCGGGTCGATGGGGATGGGATAGCGAGAGAGAAAGAGGAGAGTGGACGCGGCAAGGCAAGAGAGAGACAGGACAGAGAGCAGAAGGGGGTCTCTGGTTTTGGGTGAAATAGGCTTGGGCTTGGTTTTTTTTTT